TTGTGGATGTTTCAACACTGGAGGTTTTCAAGAAGAGACCGGACAGCAATGGTATAGGATCTTCTGCCCGAGCAGGGGGTTGGGCTAGAAGACCTCCAAGGTTCCTTCCAACTCTGTTATTCTGTTAAGTAGGAAGGGTGTAGCCTCTTTTGGGGACCAGGTGTGTGTCTGTCACGGCTCTGTTTTGCCATCTTTGCTGCTCCTTTAATTGCCATTTTGTTCTGTTCTTTTTAACTCTCATGTTCTCTTGTGAACCATCCAGAGTGTGCACAAATGGAATAAAATAAACAAATTGCACAGTGCATAATCCAATTCCATTATCATTAGTTATAAATTTAGCAACAGAAGCCTCCATAATGGATGGTGGAAGTAATTTTCTATGATAAGGTTGAAAGCAGAGGCAGTCCTCGACTTAACAAACATTCATTTGATTTGAAGTTACAACAGTGCTGAAAAAAGTGACCTGTGGCCATTTTTCACACTTACGACCATTGCAGCGTCAACCGTGTTCACGTGATCCATATTCAAATGCTGACTCATACCTATGACAGCTGCAGCATCCTGGGGTCATATAATCCCTTTTTGTGACCATCTGACAATCAAAAGTCAATGGGGAAGCCAGATTCACTTAACGACCGTACGATTAACTTAAGAACTGTGATCTGCTTAAGAACTACAGCAAGAAAGGTCGTAAAATGGGACATAGCTCACTTTGCCACTGTCTTATTTAGTGATGGAAATTTTGGGCTCAATTGTGGCCGTAAGTGGAGGATTACCTGTAGCGTGCTTTATTTGACGGTTGAAAAAAGATCTCCCAACATGTAACCAATGAGATTCCCCCCCGACGGTTGTTAAGTGAAGAATGCAGCTTCTCAGTTGCTCTTAAACTGTCAGCAGTGGATCCGAGAAGACTGATCAAAGGAAAGAGCAAAACAGAAGGCAGCAGGGAAGGGAGGATCGAGTTGGACAGGGGTCTGAGAACAAAGTGATCCACTGGTCTCTTGCTTACTTCAACCTCTTCTTCATTGCATCTTTGCCTGCTGTGATCAGAAGTAACTCTAAGCTTTTTCGAAACCAGGATGTGACAGTTTGACGCCGTCTGCCTCTTCTTTTCCCATCTGCCAAGGGTGTGGTTTTTTTTAAAGGTGTTTCTTTTGATTCACAGGCAAAGCGCCCCCCAACCTGCCCCAAGGTGTACCACCCTTGTTGCATAACCAATATTTTGTGGGACCTGGAGGACTTCTGCCTGCCTACCCAGTAAGCCATTACCTTATGCCTGCCTCTCTTGCCCGTTACCTCTGAACCACCAGCTATGGAGAGGGCTTTGGGGTGGAAATGGGTCAGCCTGGGCCCTGTCTTTTCCTGACCACTCGGTTGTAAAAATCATAGCACAAATTGGTCTATGGGGCTTGCATATGAAGCCCCAGTGAGATCCATTCTGAACTTCAGGTACAAGGCCCCGTGGTCTACCCTATATGTGAAGGCTTTTGACGTAGAGTCAGTGACGTAGAGTCAGTGTAGAAGAATATACGTGTACCAGGGTAATGTTGTAGGATCCAGTCTGAATCAGTCACAGGGACCGAAGATTTATTCTTCCAAGCTTTCAGATTTGTACTGAGCCCATCGCGGCGGCCGCGATGGCAAACCAGAAGTCGACCTTGATTGTTTTCTCTTGCAGGCGTTTCATTATCCAACTAAGTAACAGATCAGTGCTAGAAGGGAGTGTGGTTGTTCCCTAACTGAGTAATGAAACGTCTGCAAGAAGACAGACAAGCTCAGAGAGCACCAACCACCACAGTTGAACTAGAACTATTCTCTTCCATCAGTCCTTGATTTGCAACAGGAATATAGAAACACTGGTTTTCCCTAATATAAAGGCTGCTAGAAAATAATGCATGTGAAGTTATTGCACACTCAGATTTATAAAAGTGCTAAGCAAGTGTCATGTTATTTCGGCACAAGAAGATGCATTGCTTTGCAATCAAAAATGGAGCGTAGATTTTCTACTTCAAACAATATATATAACAACACAGGGAGATGTATTTTATGACTTAAAAGCACGGAGATGGAAGACAAGTTGGCAAAGAAAGAAAGCTAGAATAAGACTGAAGAAAATTGGGGTTTTGACTTATCAGTGAGAACTAAAATAGAACATACTCAAATAGATAAGATGTGTATTCTGAACACTAGATTTTGTTATGAGCTGAGATAAAGAAAACTTTGGTCATTTAAAACTTGGAAGTATAAATATTAACAGTTAAATTTGAATATTGATTTGCTTATAAGGTTTAATGTAAAAGTAATTAAGATATATATATATATAAGCTAAAAATCTATTGATGAATGTAATAAATATGTTTTACCTAGCTGTTATAATAAAACCTATTAGCTTAAATATGAGATAGTAGACATCAAGAGAAAAAGAGATGAAGTATTAAATGTTGAAATAAGAGAAATTTTGGTTACTAAATTTAAGATATTTGGAAATTAACAGAAAATAAGAATGTTATACTGTATTATTAATTAGTTGATGTAAGATGGTGAGAAATAGAATATATTCCAGTAGATAAGACGTGTATCCTGAACATTAGATTTTGTGATGTGTGCTTTTCTTGTCTTTAAACAGATTTATGGTTATGATGATCTTCAGATGCTCCAATCCAGGCTGCCTGTGGTAAGTAACATTTTCCAGTGATGTTTTACTCATTTTTACGGAGTCTTTAAATGTATATGTATAAATGTGCATGCAAAGTTGCATCTAAGATTGAGCATTCCTGTGTCTTTTTAATTGCAAAAACCAGGGTAACTTTCCAGCCTTTGCAGTTCTTATAGTTTTCAACAGAAGCTGCATCTTGACCTTCATATATCAGTTTTTCCTTCTCACCAAAAGGCTAGATAAAGGAAAGTTGGTGTGTCACATGGTGGCATTCTCACAGTTGTTTCAGCCAGGTGCACTTATTGGGGTTCCAGTTTTTGCATAAGAAGAGTTTTTCTGCCTTGTTTGTAACAGCATAACAAAGAGTTGGAAAGGGCTTTGGAGGTCTTCTAGTCCAACCCCCTGCTCAGGCAGGAGACCCTATACCATTTCAGACAAAGAGTTGTCCATTCTTGTCTTCGAAACCTCCATTGTTGGAGCACCCACAACTTCTGGAGGCAGGTTGTTCCACTGGTTAATTGTTCTCACTGTTAGGAAGTTTCTCCTTAATTCCAGGTTGCTTCTCGCCTTGATTAGTTACCATCTGTTGCTTCTTGTCCTGCCTTCTTCAGGTGCTTTGGAGAATAATTTGACCCCTTCTTCTTTGTGACCCCCTCAAACATTGGAAGGCTGCTATCACGTCACCCCAGTCCTTCTTTTTGTTAAACTGGCCATACCCAAATCCTGCAACCGTTCTTCATATGTTTTAGCCTCCAGGGTTTTTTTTTTTCCTGCGTGGTACCAGTAAGATTCATTGTATTGCAACAAGGTTCTCTCCAGCCCTGTATTCCATTGACCTATCAAGGGAGGCTCTTGCGGTTTTTGTGTCTCTGAAGGGTCTCTTGTGTCTGTTCTATGCAATTTTGTGTTGGTTTACCATATACTGTAATTTATGAGGTAAATGAATAAGCAAAAACAAGCCTGCTCTTTTGTTGAAAGTGAAAAGAACCAGAATTGGAGGGGTGGACAGTCAGGAGACCTAACTGACCTCTTAGAAAGGGAGGACAGGATTGTATTAATAGTCATTAAGTGTGAGTACTGGTGATAAATCACCTTTGTTAGTACCTTGGCAAGTTTCAAACAGCCATAAGTCAAGGGCTGCCTGTAAAAGGCGCAAACTGGCACTCTGTTCTTACCCCTACATTTTCTGGAGGGGGCCGATCCTCAGAACCGGGTTGCAGGTCTCCTTTTTCGGGTCGGTCGTAACTTTGAACAATCATTAAGCAACCAGTCGTAGCTAGAGAGCTACCTGGATTGCTGTGCCACAAATAATGTTATTGAGAAACTAAAGAGAGCCAGTTTGGTCTAGTGGTTGAGTCACTAGGCCAGAAAATGGGAGTCAGTGAGTTCTAGTCCTGCCTTAGCTATGAGGGTTAGCTGGGTGACTATGGGCCAATCACTAGGAGACAGTGAGTTCTAGTGCTGCCTTAGACATGAAAGCCGGCTGGGTGACTTTGGGCCAATCACTAGGAGACAGTGAGTTCTAGTCCTGCCTTAGACATGAAAGCTGGCTGGGTGACTTCCGGCCATTCACCAGGAGATGGTGAGTTCTAGTCCTGCCTTAGGCATGAAAGCCGGCTGGGAGACTTTGAGCCAATCATCAGGAGATGGTGAGTTCTAGTCCCGCCATGAGCATGAAAGCCAGCTGGGTGTCTTTGGGCCAGTCATTCTCTTTCAGTCCAGCTCACCTCATGGGGTTCTTGTTGGGGGGGAAATAGGAACAAGACGTTGTGTTGGATTTGTTCGCTGCCTTGAGTTATATGTAAAAATAATACAGGCAGGATACAAACAAATGAATATAATGCAGGGCCAAACTTCCACCTAAAAAGTAAGCACTGAACCCCATTCTCTGCTCCAAAGGCCATTTTACCAAAGGCAAAGTGAAGAGGCTCAGAGACAAACTGTTGGAATAAAACCTGCCTGGAGTCCTATATACAGGTAGTCCTCAATGTACGACCACAATCGAGCCCAAGATTCATGTTGTTAAGGGAGACATTTGTTAAGTGAGTTTTGCCCTATTTTAGGACCTTTCTTGCCACAGTTGTTAAGTGACTCATTGCAGTTGTTAAGTGACCAACACAGTTGTTAAGTAAATCCGACTTCCCCATTGACTTTGCTTGTCAGAAAGTCACAAAAGGGGTCACATGACCCCAGGACAGTG